AATCACGTAACTGTGAAATTTGAGTCAGACAGGTGTAAGGACTACGCTGAGGCTTGGGGAATGAAGGCCACAGAAATTTAATTAAAATGGAGATAGGCTGCAAATAGTTACATTTTAAAATTAAATTATAATGAAGAATGTAATTACAGAAGACTCAGGTTCTTGGAGCTCCAAATTCCAGGTGGTGCCCTATCTGAGAGCCAAAAACACTGTTTGGGGTGTATGGTACTTGCCAGAGTGTGGGCAGTGCAACAAGACTGAGGAATCACTCACCGGTGATAACGCACCCTGAATCATTATGACACTAACATCAGCTCGGGAATAACTCGCTGTGGCAGTGATCACAGCTGGTGTGCTGAAGGATCTTCAAATCCTGCCGATGACTTGCAGGCATCTGATTGCTAGGTGGGTAAGGTAATCCAATTCCATGATCTCAGATGAGTAATGAAGAATCAGGCTTCATAAATAAATATTTTTAAAAATCAGTTAGTGTGGGTCTTCATTTACACAATACTGCACAAAAAAATCACTTTGTAGGTGGCAAGTCGCTGGTTTCAATTTTGAATTACACTTCAACTTGGCAGAAGTTGGTGATACCTCACTGAATCAGAATAGACCACCTTGACATTTCCCAGTGTAAACTCTCAGGGTAAACAATTCTTTATGATATGAAATTAATATGCAAGTAGTATTTCATACGTGGTATTAACAGATGGAACCATGTTTAGAGATCAGTCTGCTTATCGTATTTTGCTTCTGAGTCAGACAGAAAGCTCCCACAGTCCACATTAACCTGAAGGACATACATGCCCATTCTGTGCTGCTGTGTTTTCAGAGGTTGCTTTTCTTTGCCTGGACTTGCAGTGAGCATAGTCCTATCTCCCAGACCAGGTCTTTTCATTTCCTACCTCGTCCGTCCAGCCGCTGAGCACTCACTTTCATCTCAGACGTGGCCGAACTGAGCTCCCCCCTGAGCATATACGTGCTTTTTTCCACTAGATTTCTTTCTTTCGTCCTCGAGTTGGGGGGATGTGGTTGCTGAATTCTAATTAATTCCATGTCTAATGTGGCATATTAATCCTAGGACTGAGGACATCGACGCCCTCTCTCTTACAGATACTTCCTCTTTAATGGGCAGATTAATCGCTTTCACTTCTTTTCTTTTTTAATCTCATCTGTTAACTCACCCTGCCTTGTCAGCAGACTCTCATAACTAAGTGACTGAACTTGGTTTGTAATTGTACTGTCATCTCTCTATCTCTCTAGAGCCTTCTGCATGTATTACACATGCATAAAAAACTACAGACAGGTTTTCATTGAAATTCCACCAGCTACATACAAACATCTGAATGCCCTCTGGCTGCCGCCTCAGGGGACCAAATTGATGGGGAATCTTCCTTTTTCTGCTTGGTGCCAGACAGCCCCCTGCTGGCCAGACATGCAGCGCCCGTGGGCTGCAGGCCGCTTGGCCGCTCTTGCAGTCCCATCGCACCTCAGCTGGCTACACTGTCATTAAGGCCTGAAAGGTCCATGCTCTCCTGCCTTGTTCCCCAGAGCAACAGGCAGCTGCGCAGCTGGCAAGGTCTCTGCACCAGGGTTGGGGAATGTATTCATCAATTTCAATCCAAATCAAGAAATGGAACTGGAGTTGGGATCGAAAAAACTATGGGGAACAGAACTGGAAAAGAATTTGAAATTCAAGGAGATTTAAATTCCAACTCCAGTTCCATTTCCTGATGTGGATGGTTTCCTCGTCCACTGGAAGGTGGACAGGAATGACTGTCCTGTGGCAGCACAGTGGACCACTCAATACTTCACGTACACTGCAGATTCCTTAATGAGATCATTTGCGATGTGGTCTGTAACAAGTGATATCAGGGATTAATCACCTCCAAATGTTTAGAAGTTTGTTGTGTGTCAGTGAGAACAGACCATGAATGCTCATTATATTTATAAAATCATGCTTAAAAACATCAAATTATGGGGTCATTGCAGCAGTGTAAAGTACACATCACTGCATTCTGCTTTCTAATGCAAATAACAAATTCAGTCTGCAGTAAAGAATGATAATTATGGGACGCTTGGTGGACACATTTGTGGCATAGAGTGTAAAATTTCAGTACAGAGGAAGTGGAGCCTCAGTGATGCTGTCACCATGGCAACATGCTTTACTGGTAGGTCTGTGTAAAACTTAAACTCTAGCTCTGTAGGAAACTGATATCCATCTCAGCAATCACAGAGTAGATTTTATCACAGAAGAATTGATGTACTAATTCAGTAGTGATACGAGTAGAATTTGCACAGAATTTGAGAAAAATTACTAGCTTGCTTCTCACAATATTTACAGGCATTCTCTGAAACCCATTACTGAACCAATTATGAAATTGCAGGAAGCCTTTTTTTTTATTAATGTATGGCCCATTATTTAAAATATTATTGCATTAAATACTTTCTTATATAAAATGTGCCTAAACTTAGTGCTTTCAGAAAGTTGAAACGTGATTCAGAATGAGGAGCTGGGGGTTCACTATGACCTTGTATTCATAGGACACCTCACCGTTCAGAGGGGACAGAGATCCAGAGATGGGGCGTAAAGAGACCCCCGAATCCTGGTGAGGGGGCCTCCAGCCAGCCAGAGGCTCTTAGCTAAATGCTGATCAGATGATCAGATGATGCTGCCGATGGGCTCTGGCCCTATTGCTTTGTTGCACTGGCTTCTCTGGGCTGAGGCACCAAGCAGAGCTGATCAATAAGGAGCAATGCAGGCTGGCCTGGGAAAACATCCGTACCAAGTGAGTAGTGGACTGAATTTGAGAAGGAGGTTGTGGGGGCAGAAAGCGGGGAAAGCGGGGGGGGGGGAGAGCTGTCATGGCTGCTGCACACTGTGGGCGGGAGTGAATCCGGGCAAAACTTACTAAAATTGTCAGAGAGGGACAGTTATATTACATTAAACCACAGCAAAATGCTCTTTGGTGATATCTCTTAGCTCGGGGTGGGGGGGTCACAATCCTGTCTGCAAAGGACTCGTGTGTATGCAGGTTTTTGGGGTAACCTTTACAGTTGCAGGGAAATCCCACACACAAATCAGCCCTTTCTGGGTAAGATAGGCCACCCCTGTTGTAGATGAATGCTGTGCCTACAGAATGGATAGAACGGACAGCGTCGGTATTTACGGTATTTTATTGACTCTTTAAAAAAACAATACAGCTGTTTCAAACGCTTTTCAAATTACAGTACTGTACAAATTAAATTACTGAACTATGTATGATTCAAATACGCTATAATACTGTACATGTCCCGGCATGCCTCTCGAGCGCGTGTATATGGCCCCGTGTATGTCTTATAAACAGCGGCCATATACATTTGTTAGTGTATATCCTTCTTGTGCTGTATATCCGGTTGTCGCGTGTGCCTTAAACTGTGCATGGTTGTACTCGGTTCTTGCCTGATCCTCGCGTGTCGTGTGTGTGCCTTACTGTCCTTATATAGTGTAACTTCCCCGTGTTTCCCCGTTATTCATGGCTTTAGTGTTATTGTTGCTCGGTGTGCGGTCCCTTTAAGGAATAACATAACGAACAGCTTCGTGTCAGTACGCCTCTCATCGTTTTCATTCGCCGCCGCCGCGATTCCTCGGTTTGCTCAACCGTACAACGTTGTACATAAGTTATAGCTTATTGTAATTTCGCCGTTGCTTCTCGGTGACTAGTTTATGGTGGTTTATCTTAAGCTTTTATATGTCTATATTTGTCTTTGAGGGAAAATTACTTTCTTTTTCCCGTCTTGTTTTCTGAGCACGCCGCATTAGTATCAGGTAGCTACCAGAAGCAGGCGGGTTACCGCAAGGCAAAGTAGGCTTCTCAAAGTAAAGTAAATAATAATAATTTAAAAAAGGAATTAGCGTAGTTTTAGTTTTTTCCGCATGTTCTCATGTATTAAAAGACCCTAAACGAACAAAGTAAGCGGACTACTTGGTTACTATTAGCTAATTATTTAAACAGTATATGTTCAGTTATGATTGTGTCCCTATAAGCGGTTGATCACTACAACCGTGATCACTATAAGCGGGTTCCACTGTATTTAAGAAACAGCATAAAGAAGTTTAATCAATTATTTTTATCCAGTCTACTGCGAGGAACGTTATTCGGGCGTGTGCTCGGTGAAACAAAAGTAACTATAACATAATTAAAAGTTTATCTTTAACGGCTTTTGGTTTTTTTCTGAGATCTATGTGGTACAAAACGACCAGAAGGTGCCTGGAAACCTCACAGAAAATGAGCAATGGCTGCCCAAACTTGCTGTAAGTAACATATACAAGCAGCCCAAGGTAGCCATTCCACCTAAATTATGAAAGATGCTGTGCTTCTCGCTGCCTTTTAAAAAGAAAAAGAATTAAAAATGAAAATGACCAAAGAGCCCTTCCAGTAGAATTAGACATGCTGATTTGGCTGAGATAGCCACTGTAATGAAAATTCACAGAGGGTATGCAAAGCGGACATCTGAGCCATCGGTCTGTGCCTGGCGCTAAGCGGCATGCATGCTAATATGACCCCAAGGCATTTCCTATGAGATGTGATAAACCACAGGATAGCATCCCCTTCTGGCCTGGCGCACACTAATAATGCATGAGGAAATCAGTGACAAGCTATAAAAATATGTTAAGGTATTTACTTTTTAATATTATATCTGTTTTCCCTCACTAAAGTCACACAGTGTGTGTGTATATATATATATATATATATATAAATATTCCTTCCATCCATTTTTTATAATAATTTAATCAGAATACAGGTTATGAATGGGAGAACCCTGGGCAGGACGCCAGTCCAGCACAGGGCAGGAGACACCCTGGAGGGGATGCCAGTCCATCACAGGGCAAGGGGCACCCTGGAGGGGATGCCAATCCAGCACAGGGCAAGGGGCACCCTGGAGGGGATGCCAATCCAGCACAGGGCAGGGGACACCCTGGAGGGAATGCCAGTCCAGCACAGGGCAGGGGACACCCTGGAGGGGATGTCAATCCATCACTGAACCTCTGGCAGTATCTGAACCTCACCCTTGCAGGAGTGAGGCTACAGAAATTAATTCATGCCATTAAAAAATGGAATGCCCTTTAGCTAAGGGCATGTTCATACGCAACACTGAGGGATTCTCTGTGGGAATTTGCTTGTCGCCACCAGACCAGACAGCCACATTCTCTGACTCTGATTTTCCTGGACACCTCCAGCACACCCACAGGAAGCACTGATGTGGGGGAACCAAAGCTTCCTGCTTTCCTTTCTACCTGGGCAAGCCGATGTCCTTATGCATTGTCCTGGCAAATCTCCTGCTCTGCAGAGCTACATTTTGCTTGTTTATTTAGAGATGATGTTCTTGCATTTATCTGAAGAGGAACAGGAGCTTCTGAAGAGCTTCTCTGTTTGTGGGTTGGACCCAATAGCTCCTCGGAAGGCTTCTTGGGGACCTCACCCCTTCTCACTGCTGACTTTACTGGATGGCATCCACAGCCTGTGTGAAAGTATGGCAAGATCGGGGTGAGTCACAAATTAGTTTATAGGGTACGAATTGTCAAGGAATTAAAAAAACAAACTGATCTATGAATTGTAATTATGTGACATTGTTGGGAAAGTTTTACATCCAATTATATAGGGTATTTGCCATAAACGAAAATATCCCAGTAAAACTCTACACTGGGTGAGATAGTAAAGTAACGAATGCTTTACTTTGAATCCCCACTTGGCGGCATTATTTAGAGCGACAGATGTACGAGCTAAACTGAGTGCACAGTCAATGGTTCCCAAATAGATGTAATCATATTATAAAATCAAATTGTCACACATCATGTTTATGACACTACAGGCAAGGGATTACACTGAAATCTATATGAAAGCAAGACACCTTCTGTCATGTCCAATCATCCATCTTCTGTCTGTGCTGGGTCATGTTCTGTCACAGCTATTCTTTTTTCTTCCTTACCATTTATTTGGTATTTTTCCACATTAGAAGAATCAGTGTGCATTTATGGCTTTCTTATTCATAGATTAATTTATTTTCTGAATATAGTCATGTCCCATCAACACACTTTTTTTTTATCATCAAAAATGCCTTTGATTAAAACAGATTAGGCAGGGTTGTAGTTACTCTGCTAGCAAATCACCATGGATTACTGCGGTCGTTATCTAAGGTGGAACTTTATGTCCAGGCAGGAACATGGCGGTGATGCTCTCCCAGCTCATCATAGTCTGGTCATGCCTCTCCTCTCCTCTCTTGTGACCCCCTGTGTGTCCAATCACTCCAGGTGTGCAGGCGCAAAGTTGAGGTGCTCTCCTGCGTGTCAAATCAACATGTCTGAACCCTACACACCGAATAGTATTTTCAAAAGCAAGTCTATGAAGGCCTCAGGTAAGACTGGCCTCAGAATTCACTTCGATTGAATACTAGGTCCTTTACACAGAATAGACTTTGAGAGAAATTCTGCATTTCAATCGGCTGCCTGCAGTGATAACTAAGAATTTTTAAAAGACATTTGTACCTTCACTCAACCAATACTCTACGGCTTTGAAGAATGGATGCCGTTAGCTATCATGTGACCTTTCCGGTATTTGACATTATTATTGTTCTGTGTATCTCTGAATGCTCTGCAGTTTAGTTGCTGGAGTAGAAGAGGTGTAAATGTAGACTTAAGATCAGATCACTGAGTGCTGCCGTTTGCAGAACTAACGTGCTTATTTATGACTGGTTCATATTAAGAGGATACTGGTATGAAAAATGACAGGTAGCATGTGTACGCTTCAGCGAGCACCCAGGAGAGAGGGCTGACAGTGTCGCTCTGTAAAGCAGATTGGGGCTGCAAAAAGAGCAATTGCTTCCAACTTGGGATATAAAGAGAGATAAATCCGTTCACCTCCTGGAATGAGCAATAATGGAAGCTAAGACTGACATAACAAAATAGATTCAGGGAATGTGATCAACCGCAGTCAAGCAGGAGGTCAGACTGGCCACATAAGCTCTGCAAATGGCAGCATTCAGTGATCTGACAGCACATCTACACTTACAGTCTTACCTGAAGTGCACCAAATAGAAAGAAACAGAAATGATCATTCAGACACTGAATATAAGAGCACAAAGGGGAGCTGAGCAGGGTCTAGCTGCTATACCAGTAACAGTCTGCATTCTCCCCAAACAGAAACACAGACACACCATTCAGACCATGGAGAAATGTGTCCACTTAGCCCACCAGTGTCTGTAATAATCTCTCTGTCTGGGCTCATTAACTCTTTATTGATTGGTTTTTAACAGGCTTTGCTAGAAAATATAAAAAAATATGAATGACTGGGGATTATATTTTGCAGGGGGAATATCGACCAGTAAATGCGTGTGCGTGGGGTGTTGTTATCCAGCGTCTGTGGTGGACGCATAGGATGCATGCCGGAGAAGGTGCCGGTCCATTCACATGGACAGTGTCATAAGCAGAGGCAGCCTTAGGGTAAGGAAAGGAAAGCCAAAAAATAAATGTACGGAGAAGAAGTAAACCCAGCGCGTACAGTAGATGGCGTAGGAGTGCAGCCTCAAACTGCATGCTGGAGCTGACTAGGAACAGACCAGCCTTTTCCCTTCTCATTAAAGTTCCTGAATCTTACTTTAATTTCCTGATTAATATCCTATCTGACCGAATTCATGTCTTAATTCTCACACCATGTAAAACTGTAATCTGGATTCTCTGACGAACAACAGCCTAACATAAACCAAAGTCTACAAATAGCAGAATATGTTTTTTTCATGCGGTGAACATCAGATATGCAGTTGCAGAGTATCAGTGGTGGTGTGACAGCAGAATATCATATTTTTTTTCAATACATATTGAAGTCACAAGGAGTGGCACTGTGGTGCAGTGTTTTGCAAAGATTCCTCTGAGACCAGGGTTCGAGGTCTACTCCAGGGTTCCATGTGTGTGGAGTTTGCATGCTCTTCCCATGTCATCATGGGCTTTTCTCTAGGAACTCCAGTTTTCCCCACTGTCCAAAAACATTCTGAGGATAATTGGAGTTACCAAATTGCCTATGGGTGTGAATTGTGACTGGTGTGTGAGTGACTGGTGCGTGAGTGTGCCCTGAGATGGGTTGGTGCCCCATCCTGGGCGGTTCCCTGCCTTGAGACCATACCCTCTGGGATAGACTCTGAATCCCCTGCAATCCTGAATAGGACAAGTGGTTTCGGAAGATGGATGGATATTAAGTCATAACTTGACAATATGCTAATGTGTTATTTTAAAAATATAATATGGGACAGAAATGTAATCTTAATTACTCTACAGTTGATTAACAAAGTGCTTTTGCTTTATAAAACTAAAATAAAATCAAACAAAACCAAAGATTTTTTTCCACAAGTAGATGTGTGACATTATAATTCAAATAAAAACAAAACGTGTATTGCATAGCTTTAGCATAATTATAAATGTGTTATAAAAATTAGATGTACGTGTGCTGTGGCTGAGTGGGGCATTTTTCCTCAGATTTTTCTTTTGCTCATGCAATAACTTAAATATACACTTTATTTTCCTTTGTTAAATGATTTGGGTTTTTTGTAGTGGGGAGGGGGAGTTTTTAGCTTGGTTATAAGGAACACAGTTCTGCATCAAAAGTAGGGTTCCTAGCTTGCATTTTATTTTAAATTCTTATGATGCATAAAGTATTTTGTGATCTTCAGTATGCATAGATTTTTAATATATATTAAAAGCCTGAAAACACTCCAAATGACTCAGGCTTTTTAGCTGTTTGTGTGCTGACCCAACACCAGTCGACAGCCAGATTTGTGCAGTGCAACGGGGTGACACAAATCGCAGCTGCTATGAAATTAGACACATGCTTTTCCGCTTGCTTTGTTGCATGTTAAGAGTTGCTTATTCTAAGGGTGTTTTCACATGGTCTGGTATACAAACTGGAAATTGGCATTAGGGAAAGGCAAGGGATTTCAAAAGTATTATTGTGTCGCAGGTGAGTGGGAGAGGCAAGAGGTGGAACAGATAGAGGTAGAGACATGGTGTGGGTGGAAAGAATGCTTTTATATTAGCGTCTTTAAAGAGACAGTTAAACTGCCAGAAATCATAAACAGCATCTCTCAAAAATGCAAAATATACTTTTAACCACATAACAAAAATAAAATAATCAATGCTGCAGATAAGTTAGTGCTGAATGAGGTGAAAAACAAACAGAGCAGAAATATCTGCATAAAAAATGATGGAACTCAAGACAGATGTAACATGGACACCACGGTCAAACCAGCCGTGTTCCTGACCTGTTATGTACAGGCAGTTTTTCGGTTCTGCAGTCTGTTTTCACCCAGTTTGGATACTGGCAGACTTAACATAACAACTTAATACATTTACAAATGAGAAGAGGCCATTCGGCCCATCAAGCTTGTTTGGGGAGAACTTAACTAATAGCTCAGAGTTGTTAAAATTTTATCTAGCTCTGATTTAAAGGAACCCAGGGTTTTATCTTGCGCTACACTAGCAGGAAGACTATTCCATACTCTAACTACATGCTGTATAAAGAAGTGCTTCCTCAAATTCATTTTAAAATGTTCTCCTGCTAATTTCCACTTATGGCCATGAGTTCTAGTATTTAAACTAATATTGAAATAGCCATTTGGGTGAACAGCATCCAGACCTATTAGAATCTTATATACCTGGATCATGTCCCTGCTTAGTCTCCTTTGCTTGAGGCTAAACAGATTCAGCTCAGCTAACCTCTCCTCATAAGACATTCCTCTAAGACCTGGAATCATTCTCGTAGCCCTATGTTGAACCCTTTCAATGTCCTTCTTAAGGTATGGTGACCAAACCTGCACACAGTATTCTAGGTGGGGTCTTACCAAGGAATTATATAATTGTAGCATCACCTCCCTTGACTTAAACTCCACACACCTAGAGATGTAACCCAACATCCTATTGGACTTTTTTATTGCTTCCCCACACTGGCGAGAGTGGGACATGGAAGCATCAACATACACACCGAGGTCTTTCTCGTAATCAGCTACCTTTATTTCCGTGGAACCCATAAAATATCTGTACTTTATACTTCTGCTCCCTGCATGGATTACCTTAAATTTCATCTGCCAGGTATCAGCCCAGTCGCTAATTAAATCCAGATCCCGCTGTAGCCTCTCTGCTGCTAGATCAGTATCTGCTACACCATCCACCTTGGTGTCGTCTGCAAATTTAACCAGTTTACTGTGTATATTGGTGTCCATATCATTAATGTAAATTAGGTATAACAGTGGTCCTAAAATTGAACCCTGCGGTACCCCACTATGAACACAGGCCCACTGTGACATTGTGCCTCTAATAACTACTCGCTGCTTCCTGTATGTTAACCAGTTTTCAAACCAAACTGCTACAGTTCCTAAAATCCTAAAATGCAGAACTTTGAGCTTAAGCAAGAGCCATTTGTGGGGGACTACATCAAAGGCCTTCTGGAAATCTAAGTAGATCACATTGTAGGCCTTTTTGTGATCAATTTCTCTTGTAGCTTCCTCAAAGAAATCAAGTTAATTAGTTAAACAGGATCTACCTCTCCTAAATCAATGTTGGCTATCCCTCAGAATGTTATTTGCATCCAGGTAATCTACCATTTTCACTTGGATTATAGCTTCCATTATTTTTCCAGTAATGCTAGTTAAACCGATTGGCCTATAGTTTGCTGGATTACTTCTATCCCATTTTTTGAATATGGGCGTTATATTAGCATGCTTCCAATCAGAAGGTACCACACCAGCAGCTAATGATTTCTGGAATAGTAAAGTTAAATATTGGCTAATAATATCCCTCATCTCTTTTAAAGCTATAGGTTAGATGCCGTCAGGGCCCTGCGATTTATTTATTTTGAGCTTAGCTAGGCTTAGTACCACATCAGCATACATTACATACATATATTGGTCATAGACAACTCTGTATTCATACTAAATGGTGGTAACTTACTCGTGTTCTCTACTGTAAACACCTGTGTAAAATAACCATTAATCAACTTTACTATCCTGCAAATTAGTGATGTCAGCTTTTAGAGCTCTTTTGGAGTTAAAGTATTGGAAGAAACTTTTATTATCATCCTTAGCCTCCAATGCAATCTTTCTTTCTACATTCCTCTTCCAGAGTCTAATGTTATTTTTTAACTCAACCTGTAGACTTAGATACTCCTGCTTTATTTTGAAATCATTAGTTATTTTCTATTTGTGGAAGACAGCCCTTTTCCTCCTGACTTTATTCTTAATTTCCTTTGTAAACCAACTTGGTTGCAGTTTCCTAAATTTAGTTTTGTTGGAAACAGGTATGAAGTCCTCTTGCACTTGCAACAATGTGTTTTTAAAAAATTCCCCTCTTCAACCATTTTGCTATTTAACTCCATCCAGTTTACAGTTTCTAGTTTCAGTCTCATACCATTAAAGTTAGCCTTCCTAACATTGTATACTTTTGTTTTGGACTTTGCTCTTCTGATACTAAAATGTTATGATCACTACTGTCCAGTGGTTCTAAAACCTCTAATTTTCCAATCCTATCCTGGTTATTAGAGAAAACAAGATCAAGAAGGGCTTCTCTCCTGGTAGCGGTATTAACAAACTGTATAGCAAATGCTGATAATTAAGCCATTTGAGTTTTTAGCATCTAGTTTTATCCATACAGCTTTTATACTTTTATTTTTATCAGGACTGGAATCATCTGTCGTTTATTTTACAGCAAATTTCTGTGGACTAGTTAAGACATATATTCACAAGTTGGCATTTATCACACAGAATCTTTTTCTGGTTTATGATATCAACGACTGTGACGGCCCATACCAGTTCCCAGGCAGCTTGGATATCATTCTTGACTGTCAGCTGCCCAGCTACACAGAGACAGACAGTACAGACTTGCAATAGACCCTCTCTCCCCTTTCTGAGCCAAACTACTCACCCCTGATTGTGTTTCTGTAGCTGCTACGCTCTCAGAGAGCTAAATGGTTAGTAAAATAATAGGAGAGCTGCCCTTCGTATTGTGCACTGTATGGCGACTGTGACGGCCAGCTTTGAGGAAGAGCTCCATGTGGCGCACAGCTCAGTGACCCTCACAGCTTATCTAATGGTGCAGGGGCCAGGGGCTGACAGGAGATGTCTGCTGTCACTTTAATGAAGCACCTCTCTGCTCAGCTAGTGAGCCCTTCCACTCTTTGTCCTGTCTGTCACCTGTGGCGGAGACTGATGCTGGCAGCTCATCACTGTCACCCCTTCCAGACAGAGCCATTGATCTGCTGACAGGGCCTGGAGGAGCTTCAGCTACCCAGTGTTAGCCACATCGCATCCCAGGACAACTCACCCTGTCCTCAACAACAGCTGAATCGAGCAGGACGCGGACAAGGCTAGCGTGCTTTGATGTACTATGGTAACAAGGCCACTCCGAAGGGCCACACAGCGTGACTCCGAGCCAGTTCATCTCCGAGACCTGTCCCCTCAGTGCCACTTTTTCTCAGTCAGAACTGCTCAAAGGTTAGGTGGAATTTCAACAGAAGATCTCAAGAAGATCATCTTACCTGAGTTAACCATTGGGACGCTAGACTCTACTAAGAAACCTTTATTCTTATCATTCATATTTCTCCCTTCTGAAATAAAGTGATAAAATAAAGCAAAATTAATTGGAGCACAGTTCCTGCCAAAGGAAACTATGGCAGGTTAAAGCTAAATGATGTGTTTGATTGGAGCCTCTCCATAGAGACAGTGGGTTAATCTTCTCACTGGCTTCTTCCTTCTCACAATGACGCTGCCTTGCACTGAAATAATTTAGCAAAAAACTCAGCTGAAAAGGTCTGAAAAGGCTCCCACATCGACCGTTCCCTGCCAAGAGGCCTTTTGCAGTGTTATACAGGAGCGACATTTCAGGGAATAGAAAACTATTTCTGCTAAAGAAGAAGAGAAGGTAATACATATCACAGATGGAAATGCTGAAGATTTTCTTATTTTCTTTGGCCTTGCAGACTTAATAGAGCTAACGCTGAAAGGCATGCAAGTTCATAAACTTCATGAACAGAGTAACATGGATATGGGATACCAGGTATGCTGATACTGATGCCGGTTTCTGGAATAATACTCATCACCCCTCTCAGCCTTGTTTTATTCCACATGCTGCAGCACATCCTGCACTTTTTAATGGCAAAGCCCCTGGGCAGAGATACACCAGTCACAAAGACAGTGGGGCGTGAGTGCAGAGCTAAGCCATCAGTCTGGTGATCTGGCGAGTGCTGGGTAATCATGAGGAGTACTGGGTCATCACGAGGAGTACTGGATAATCATGAGAAGTGCAGGGTAATCAGCAGGAGTGTTGTGTGATCCTGAGGAGTGCTGGGTAATCCTGGGGTGTGCTGGGTAATCAGAAGGAGTACTGAGTAATCTTGAGGAGTGCTGGGTAATCAGAAGGAGTACTGAGTAATCTTGAGGAGTGCTGGGTAATCATGGGGAGTACTGGGTAATCATGAGAAGTGCTGGGTAATCATGAGGAGTACTGGGTAATCAGGAGGAGTAGTAGGTAATCATAAAACGCTCTCTGCGAGCTTCTCACATAGTTGTGAGCTTTTGCTAGTAGAAGAGTACAATGTGCTTAACAGTGGGCATTACACTGCCCCCTGCAGTTAGACACTCAACATTGCACTTGTATGCTGTTCTGTATGTCCAGCTGTCACAATAAATGTGAAGGTGGAAAATGCTTATAGCAGTTTTTTGAAGTCACATAGGGACAAACAGTGTGTGTGTGTCTGGGGGGGCAGGGGGGGCATTAGACACTTCATTTAGCTGGGAGAAGGGAAGCTCTTTGGCTGGTAGTGACTTTTCTTCTAGTACAGGAATCTGTCATCATGAGAGACATGTTCACATTGGCATGTTTACATCAGGACTGAAACTTCCTAATTGTATTTCACTGTCTGACAAATGTAAAGTCACTGCATATCTAAATGATTTCACTGCTGGCAGACGGAAGCAAAATTTCCATCATTAGCCTTTAATTAGACTAATAAGCATTTCATGTTACTAATAACATTTCCCTTAAATCTTATGCAACATTTAGATCCATGACACACACATACCATTAATCTTGCTCTAACAAGAAATGCCATCATCATCATATCCTCTGCAATTAAGACCATTCAATTAAGACATGATCATTATTCCAGCTCCGCAAGTAGATTGAGCAGAAAGAATGGCATTCTGCTTTTTTACATTACTGCAATGTGCAGTCATTGAGCTCATGGGAGTTTTACTTACACAAAAATGTTCTGAGGGCAAAATGAAAACTGATTGGTTCAGGTGTCCTGATCCCGCTTTCTCTAGCTGCTTGGACCCACCTCCAGTACAATCTGATAGGTTATCTCTCTGAGCCAATCGTTTTTCGTTTCCCCCCTCAGAACATTTTTGTGTAAAGCTTCCACACGCAGTCACTAATCACCAGATAACCACATGAAGATGGTGCATGTATAATTCCTTGTCAAGCATGAACTTGGGGATTTCCTAAAAAAAAATTCTGTTTTTAGTAATTTTTTCCTTCCGATTGCATCACGCATTTGTAAGTTGGATTACTGAACTTGTCAAAGATGCAATGTGAGGAGCAGAAGGTCACTAAGGAGGAAATATTGAGCAGTATCACATTCATCTTGTGAATAAATATTCGTAATTCACTGCCACGCATCGATGCGTTTGCCTTTGCCCCCAGAAGACACTGATATATTCCAGAAGCCTGCTCATCAGAGCCACTCATTCCGCCCCCAGGCGAGGGCACTGTGACAGCAGTCCCACGTCTTACAGCTTCAGACACTTCACTTGTTCAGCAGGCGTTCACTGCAGAGTGAGCTACGTGCTGAGATGGGTGAGCACAGGCAACAGCACCGGACACCACAGATAAATGTCCAAATGGCCATTGCACGAGTGATTTATTGTGTGTTGTTATGGAGGCAGATCCCTGTCCCCATCCAACAGGGCCGAGTCACGCAATGTTCAAAATACTAAGCTGTCGGCATTTCCTTGGAGGTCACACTGCTGAAAGTAGGTCACGGAGCTTGTAGAGATAAGGGGTGGACTTTAGCCAAGATGCTAATATTCAGCACATCAGACCAAACAGATCTCTGGGTCACTCAGTAAGATCTACGCCGTGGCTGGATGGTGCCAAGCTGGCTGGGGGAAATGGGGAAAAAAAACCCCAATGTCAATTAATTGTGTGTATTTGTGGGTATTCTGATGCGTTCGCATATACATGGTAGTGAATATGTTGATAACTCAGTGCCTAAAGGAGGGAGGAGTTGAATCCCTCAGAGGAGTGAAATTAACAGTCTTCACCCGATCAGCTTTATTAATCTGTGCTTTGGGAAGAAAATCCCTTTTCAAGATCAGAGACTGTAACATACGAATGCCCTGAAGAGCTGTGATCCTTTCAGTAGAGTAATAAGGACCTTACTGCCCTTCCCCTGATCTTTAGAGAGCAACCCCCTCTGGAGGCTCCTCTGCTAAATGTCACTGAAAGGGTGATTTTAGGAGAGAGAGAGAAAGAAGAAGCCTCAGCTCTGAAATAAGACTGGTAACAGTCTGGGGTGTCCCCTGCCCTGTGCCATGTGATAGACTGGCATCCTGTGTAGGGTGTCCCCTGCCCTGTGTCCTGTGATAGGCTCATGCCCTGTGCTCCCTTTGATATGCAAGTCCTGCATTACGTATGTGATTATAGAAAATCACTGTCACTGAGTTTGGAATAAACAGACCTGTTTTCTTTGAGCACTTCTTTCAAGAATGGCTTCCATATTTGGCCACTGAATGTTCAGAGCCATTAAGACTGGAGAGATGTGGCATATTGTTGATACAGAGACCGGAAGAACTTGGGAATCGCTGTAACGATGTAGTTTTCCTTGAGGTAAGTTTCTACTGAACAATTTACATGTGTTTAGGGCTCTGCAGTGAATAGACATGGGGGAAGAGAAGAGGAGCTGGGATCAATACTAAAAAGCTGTCATGGGCACTCAGTATTTGTTCAGCATAATCCTCCAGAAGACCTTGGAGAGTTAGTGGAATTGATACACCTGACTGAAAAGGCCAATCGAACTGAAAAATAAAATTAAACTCCTTAAAGCCGAGAGAGAAAAGAGCAAAAAATAAATTAGCTTTCAATGAATTTAAACTAAGGGTTTATATTTCAATTTCATATTTCAAAAAATGAAGAATAGGCAATGAAATTTAAGTTTTTAAAATGAGATTTTACCGCTGTTTGTAATAATAACCCTAATATAACTGAATTAGCATTCCAAACCCACTTCTTCCAATAGACAAGAAAATGCTGTCCACACCGCCCACGCCCCATGGGCCATTTAAATCTTGGAGAATCGCCAGTGCATGTCACCGATGGCCCTTGTTTTAGCAGCTCCGCATGCCAGAGGTGTAAAGTAATGAAGTACAAATACATCATTACTGTGCTTTAATAGGATTTTTTCCAGATTTCTACTTTATTTCAGTGTTTAAGTTACTGAAACTTTTATTTTCACTTCGCTACATTCCTGATCCAAATAATGGCTTTTAACATGATCATCGTTACTCACCCAATTAAAATATTATACTATTTCAACTGCACAATTCTGGGTAAAATGCGAATCATGCTTTATACTTCAGAACTGAGATTGTGACTTTCTCTCATGATTCTTGAGCAATGTATTCATTTCTTTATTATTATTATTATTATCTTTTAAATGATTTATTATGCATTACATACTGTTTTTACGAAGGTGAAACAAACAATATGCAGAGAGTTAACACAAAAAACTGACATTTAAAGCTATAGTGTGGAAATACTGGTGATGATTTCATTGGCCGATCAGCCTGTAGGGGAGGATTTTCTTTGGTTCATTCATCACTTACAAACTCAGGCCTATAAGAGGTCTAAAAGTACCAGCCCATGAAATGTTTGCAATTCATTATTAATTCAGGCCCGTTTTTCACAGAATAAAAAAAGTCATTCCATTAATCTGCTCTGGCGAGATCAGTCTCACCGCTTTTCCTAAATTAAAAAAATATATCCTCTTGCAACTTTTTTTTATTGTGACTGTTACTGAAATATTATATTCAAATCTGTCTTGACTGGATTTAAAAGCATTGGCTGCTTTTTGTAACAGATAATAGATTTGAGTTTATAGTTCTTTCACTTGCAACCAGGTATTTTTTACTTTTATTTAAGTTACATTTTGGTGTGGCATTTGTACTTGAGTAATTGAGTAATCGGTAATTAAGTGCTTTTTCCACCACTGCTGACAGCCCAGAAGGAGTTGTTATCCATGACCTCACCACAGCCAGTGCACAGCAGTGATTGGCCAGCAGGGCCCAGCCTCACATCACCTGCCCTCCTCAGGCTCTGCACCTGCTGTTCTGTGATTGGTTCGCAGGGCCCTGCCTCACACCACTTGTCCCCAGCAGCTTCTGCACCTGCTGTTCTGTGATTGGCTTGCGGGGCCCTTCCTCGTACCACCTGTCCTCCTCAGGCTCTGCACCCGCTGTTCTGTGATTGGTCAGCGGGGCCCTTCCTCATACCACCTGTCCTCCTCAGGCTCTGCACCCACTGTTCTGTGATTGGTCAGCAGGGCACTCCCTCGTACCACCTGTCCTCCTCAGGCTCTGCACCCGCTGTTCTGTGATTGGTTCGCAGAGCCCTTCCTCACACCACTTGTCCCCGGCAGCCTCTGCACCCGCTGTTCTGTGATTGGTTTGCGGGGCCCTTCCTCGTACCACCTGTCCTCCTCAGGTTCTGCACCCGTGTTTGATCTTAATCCCAGATGAATGTTTATAAAATAAAATCATGGGTGAACCTCATTATCCTTCCCACTGACACCAAGGTTCCTCCTCACTAAGCAAGTTACTTGTTCAAAGGAAATTCCCCCTCTGAATTTCTTTAGATTTTTGCAGCTTGCAGGAGGCGTAAGCTTCACAAGGATGTTTCACTGGAAAAACAGATGATAATGGTTCATTTGCAGGTGTTTTATATACCTGTCTGAAGTGATCTACCATGTTGATTATTCACTGCACTGCAGTAATGCAGGTTCTTTTGCAAGTTAAATATTACTGATGTACATTCCAATGTTTCTAGTTTTTATGTGTGTTTTTATTCTTAATAAAACCTTATATTTCTCCAAAGACCAGAACAATGACACACTCCACATGCCAGCTAATAAATAAATAAAGGAAATAACATGTAAATGAAAAAATGACACTGCAAATTCGACTGTGCACTGCATATTATGGACCATATATTGTGCACCACATATTGTGGACTGTATATTGTACACCGCATATTGTGGACCATAATATTGTGCCCTGCATATTGTGGACTGTATATTATGGACCGCATATTGTGGACTGTATATTGTGCACTGCATATTGTGGACCGTACATCGTGCACTGCATATTGTGGACTGTATATTGTACACCGCATATTGTGGACCGTATATCGTGCACTACATATTGTGGACTGCATATTTTGGACTATATACAGTGGTACCTCAGTTCTCGAACTCATTAGAACCAACCAGTTCGAAAAAAAATTACC